TTGTGTTCAATGACTCTAGTTGTCCATCATCTGATCTTTTGTCTTCATTAAAATTCACAACTTTACCTTCTTATGATTCTCAAACAAATGTTGCACAATCCAAAAGTTCCACTAACATTAGTCACCTTCTATTTGGTCTTTTAGGGTCAGAAAAAGCATGGCATCATAGAAAATCATATATTGAATCATGGTGGAGACCAAATATTACAAATGGATATCTTTTACTAGATGTCCCTCCTAAAGGTGATCTTCTTCCATGGTCTTCAAATTCACCTCCTTACAAAATATCAGATGATGTTCCAAAACTTGTTAATGAGACCAAACATGTCGATGCAACGGTTCTAAGGTTGGTTCATGGGATAATGGAGGTGTTTAGAGAGGAATATGAAGGTGTAAGATGGCTAGTTATGGGAGATGATGATTCAATATTTTTCTTGGATAATATGGTTGATATTCTTGCACAATATGATCATACTAAATATTATTATTTTGGTGGACATTCTGAATTTATATTATCAAATTATTGGTACTCATTTAATCAAGGTTTTGGTGGTGCTGGATTTATATTGAGTTATCCTTTGGCTAAAGCATTGGCAAGAGATATGATGTCTTGTTTAAAGAGATATGCTCATTTGAATGCTGCTGATAGAACAACTATGACTTGCATTGCTGATATTGGTGTCAATCTATCTCCTCTTTTAGGTGTTCATCAGGTAAAATCATTTGTCAAATGTGAAAATAAATATTTAAAAAATACGCTTTTTAATTAGTTTTTGTAAATTTGATATGCAGATTGATTTACGTGGTGATCTATCAGGATTTCTATCATCACATCCAAAGTCTCTATTAATGTCACTTCATCATTTTGACATGGTTGATCCAATTTTTCCCTCTATGGATCGTGCACAATCAGGATATCATCTCCTAAATGCTGCAAATTATGATCAATCAAGAATGTTACAACAAACAATTTGTCACAAAAGGTCTACTAGTTGGACATTTTCAATTTCATGGGGATACTCAGCACATATTTATGAGAAAATTATGCCTAGAAGTTGGTTACAAAATCCAATTGAAACATTCAAGACATGGGCTAGAAGTCCTAAGCCACCACATTACATGTTTGATACTAGAACACCTTCGTGGGATCCTTGTGAAGCTCCTCATGTTTTTTTCTTTAAGTCCGTTGAAAAAACGCCAAAAAATGAAATTCTTACAACATATACAAGAGCATGGCCTCGAGGGATTGGAAATTGTTCATTTACTGGAAATTATTCTGCTGAATATGTATCAGAAATTCATGTTTATTCACCATCAACAAAACGTATTGAGGTAATTTTTTTTTTTTTACATTTTCTAACTAATTTCTATAGAAAGATTAATTAAGAGTTACTCAACACGCATATAGTAAAATAATGAAGGAATAAGTAAACATTTTTTTATTATATGTTCTAAAATTGACCAACTCTGATCCCATATGGCATCATCTAAGTTTTATATATATTTTTTTGTAAACAATAATATGATGAGTTTTTTTTATTAAGTCAATGGCTTGTAAATTAATCTTTTGAATAATTCCTAAGTGAATAGCTATAAGTTGAAGAAAACTTTTAACTTGCAATTAATTTAGATTAAACATTAATTATTATTTTTTGTGTTATTTTTTTTTTTTTTGTTGAAGTTGTTGATTTTTCTCATATAAAAAATTAGCTAAGATGTATTTCCTTTCGTATGTGCTTCTACTTTTTCTTTATTTTTTTGTTTTGTAAAATTCAAAAATTAATTACATTAAAAAGGTGGAATTAGGTATACCCTACATATATATATTTAATTCATAAAATAAGGAGTTTGTATATCATGTTAAGAACTAATTAAGTTTTCTTTTTGTTGGTTTTAGTGCTTCTTTCGTGCATAAACAACATGTAGCATTAATTGAAAGTCAACCAATCACAATGTAACGTGCTATTAATGAAAATGAAATATGAAATAACAATTTTATTTTAATTTTTTTCTTTTCAGATCGATAGATGTGAATGTTGTGACGTAATTCATGAGGAGGGATCGAATAAAGCTGATATCAAGTATAGAGAATGTAAGGAAGATGAGATAATAGCCTGATAAATTCATCAAGTTGTTAAATACGCATTTATGCCGATATTTTTTTTTTGTTAATTAACTATAGTGATAATTGTTGTGTACTTAATTCAAAATTGCATAAAAAAATGTGTAACACACATAAATTTGTAGCATACTCCATGATTTATGAGGAATTTCAAGAGAATTCTATTTTGATTTACATTGAAAGGAACACGTCACACAGTATTTAATAATTAAAGTACTTGTCAAACTTGGAATATATACGAAAAAAACTAAGCCTTTATTTTCCATAAACAAATAAAGTATTGATAAAAGAATGTATCAAAGTAAAATATATGTCATCCCGTTTTTCTATGGAGACAATAACCATGTAGCTGGTGTTGTGGTACAGTCATCAAAATTCAAAACTAGGGCATTAAATAGAGGGATCGGACTGAACTTATGACGTGCTAAAATGAAATGAGTTAATAAATGAAGAATTATTGGTTACAAATATTTAAAAATTTAAATTGAAATAAATTAAAAGTCAGGTCATAATTCAATAAGCTTAATTCTTTCTAAGTTTTTTAAATATTTTTTTTATAATTTGTTTGAGTATCTAATGAAAATATCAATTGATATAAAGTTTCGTATGTGTCAATTCAAACAGTATATTCATCCAGTTTAATTAAAAAAGGAATTTTCTATAGATAAATATAATTTTGACGATAATTATAAATATCAACCATAATTTGCCTATATACTCATAGCAAAGTGTTTCAGAGAGATAAAATATCAAGTTAGAGATATATATATTAAAAGAGAGAATCGAAGATACTTACATCTAAAAGGAAACATAAATACGTAGATCACATATATACAATCTCATATATATATATATATATATATATATATATATATATATATATATATATATATATATATATATATATATATATATATATCTCAAATTTCACTCACTGTTGTTCTCTCTTTTCCAAACTTGCACACATATATACGCATTGGCTTTGAAACTGAAACATAGATACATATACAATGTATCACTTCTAAAATAAATAAAAACTAGGGCATTAAATAGAGGGATCGGATTGAAATTATGACGTGTTAAGATGAAATGAGTTAATAAATGAAGAATTATTGATTACATATTGAATTGAAATAAGCTAAAAGTCAGGTCATAACTCAACACGCTCAACTCTTTCTAAGTTTTTTAAATATTTTTTTTATTTTTTTATAATTTGTTTGGGTGTCTAATAAAAAAATCAATTGATATAAAGTTTCGCATGTGTCAATTTGAACTGCATATTCGTCCAGTTTAATTAAAAAATGAATTTTCTATAAATAAACATAGTTTTAACGATAATTATGAGTAGCAACCATAATTTACCTAAATACAATTCAAAGCAACATATTTCAGAGAGATAGAATATCGGGTTAGAGAGATTATATTAAAAGAGAGAACCGAAGATACAACTTATATCTCAAAGGAAATATAGATACGTAGATCATATATATACAATCTCATATATATATATATATATATATATATATATATATCTATCTCAAATCCCCACTCGCTTTTTGTCCTCTCGTTTCCAAATTTGCACACATATACACGCATTGGCTTTGAAACTGAAACATAGATACACATACAATGTATCACTTCTAAAATAAATACACAAACACTACAATCTTTGAATATTGTATAACCCGTAAAATAAATATAATTTTTTTGTAATAATAATTATATTAGTTATTATTTTCCAGTACGCCTATACAATTAATTGTACATGTATCATGTATCAATCAAGAAAAAGAGAAAATCCAAAATGAAAAAGAATTTACTACAACCTAGTAAATATAAATATTGAACCCAATTAGCCTCAAGCGAACACGTGTATGATAACCTTTTTAGTACACAACGTATAACAATTTTTCATATCGAAGATTCGATTCAATTTTTATAGCTCATAAAAAAAAGTTTCTTAGAAAGATTAAAGAAGATTCCATAAAACAAGAGAATTGTTGTCTTTTCATCCGGGTAACGCTAAATAGTTAATAAAAATTGGTCAGAAATTTAAAAAGTCTATAACATATTTTTGTATAGGCTTGTCACCTTAGCCTTTTTGGCAAACATATTTGATTACATAATTCATTTCTGTTACATAGGAAATATAAATCGTATCAGATAAATAGGCAAGTGTTATGCAACAGACTCGACTAAAAAGACATTGAAAAAAGAATGTAAAGCTCACTAAGCAAGTGCTATACAACATACTCGACTCAAAAGATATTGAGAAGGGATCAATCTCGAATTATTCATACGAATGACTATCCTCGCGAATGATCCATCCCCAAGCACCCCTTCATTTTCTGTGGCTATATATATGAACAAAAAAATTCTTCTATTCCAATATATACCAACAATTTTGTTTTTGTATGCCACGTTTATTTTACAACCAACTATATATATTTTCTTTGAATTTAATTTTTTTTTCTTCACTTGAAATTGTACAGTTTTTTTATTTCAAGCTTTGCTTCTATTTTTCATTGATTAAAAAATGAAGATCCCAAGTGGTTGTTCATAAAAGAAAATGAATACATTCTTTTGAACATATTCATTAATTTGAGTTATTTAAGATATGAAAATTTGGTTGAAAAATGAGAAAATTAATAATCAACCTTAACGTGGTATCACTACAATAAACATAACTTTTAGCTGTATTGAAATTGACATTAATAAAGAGTGCTAAAGTCTTTACCGGCATTAGTTAACTGTCATTAAAACCAATGTCGCTAAAGGCTTTAGGGACATATACAAAGAGTGAGAATTGCCATTAAATATATATATTTACCGACAATTAAGAATTAAATACCGCTAATGATCATTTTTACTGACTCGATCAAGCTATTATCTCATCTTCCTTGCACTCCCTATACTTGATCTCGGCTTTATTGGATCCATCCTTGTGAACAATGTCACAACATTCACATCTATCAATCTGGAGGGAAAAAAAAGATAAAAAATTTTTTAAAAAATAAAACAATAATTATAGAGGTGATTTTTGTAACTCGAGAATTTTATATTTTCCTTTTAAATCGGGGAATATGATTTATTTTTTTAATCCTTACCCTAAAAAAAACAAGTCATCTTTTATGTCATGGAACCTATACTTTGTATATAAAAACATACTATGTATAAACATTTTGTATACACTCGTATACAGTATACAAGATTGATATACTATATATAATGTTATATGATGTAAATGTTTTCGATTCCCCACCCCACCCACAACCAAATAAAATCTCACCCAAACAGGATAGGTTTCAACCTAAGAGCATTCACAAATGATAAAGAAATTAAAAATTAATGTAATTTTGTTAATAAGATCTCATTAGGTGTAAATATAACCAAGGATTTGAAAATACAGCTAATGAATTAAATAACCTGTTAAGAGTAGAATCATATTTATTTTTATGAAACGAGTTTTTTCCTACTCATGAATTACATAATTATCTTTCTTGTCACAAAATTATCAAGCAATGCTTAGAATCATGATCTATACTACTTTAGATTATTAAGAGTTTATTTGCCTAGTTTTTAGGGATAATACACAAGTACCCCTCAAGCTATGCCTGAAATCGCAGAGACACACTTATACTATACTAAGGTCCTATTACCCCCTGAACTTATTTTATAAGTAATTTTCTACCCCTTTTTAGCCTACGTGACACTAGTTTGAAAAAAAAAGTCAACCTTCGTTGGGCCCACAAGATAGTGCCACGTAGGTCGAAAAGGGGTAAAAAATTATTAATAAAATAAGTTCAGGGGGTAATAGGACCTTAGTATAGTATAAGTGTGTTTCTGAGATTTCGGACATAGGTTGAGGGGGTACTTGGGCATTATCCCTAGTTTTTAAGATAAATTTTACTATATCAACTTAATATTTTGAAATTAAAATTTAGATATTTAAAAAATATGCGAAAATTATTATAAATTGTAATTCTTCCCATGTTAGTAAACAAACAACAACTTTAAAAATATTGATCAAATTCCACATAATTTAAATATCAAGAAACAAAAAGTGTCATATAAATTAAAAAGACAAAAGAGAGTTAGTAGTTTGGACGGCCAAAAATATTAGCTAACATATTATAAGATAGATAAACTTATTACGTTTGGAGCCAATCTTTTGTCTTAATTATGAAAGTCATAATTTATCATATAATAAGTTTTCTTTTTTTAAAAAGAACTAGTTAAATGATGTTGATGCAATTCCAAATCTTTAATTACTCAAAATTAAAGTCCTTATCAAACTAATTAAATTAATAAGCTATTTTTTATTTGGCATAACCTATTTTTAAAAACAAACACAAACTAATAGTACTATATATATGTTGAGGATATATAGGAAAAGGAAAATTATAAAAAATGAAAAACATTATTATATTATTACCTGAATACGTTTTGTTGATGGTGAATAAACATGAATTTCTGATACATACTCAGCAGAATAATTTCCAGTAAATGAACAATTTCCAATCCCTCGAGGCCATGCTCTTGAATATGTTGTAACAATTTCATTTTTTGGTGTTTTTTCAACGGACTTAAAGAAAAAAATATGAGGAGCTTCACAAGGATCCCGCGAAGTACTTCTAACATCAAACATATAACGTGGTGGATTAGGACTATTTTGCCATGGTTTAAATGTTTCAATTGGTCTTTGTATCCAACTTCTAGGCATAATTTTCTCATAAATATGAACTGAGTATCCCCATGAAACTGAAAATGTCCAACTTTTAGACCTATGGTGGCATATAGTTTGCTGTAACATGCGTGATTGATCATATTTTGCTGCATTTTGAAGGTGGAATATTGATTGTGCACGATCCATAAAGGGAAATATTGGGTCAACCATGTCAAAATGGTGAAGAGACATTAGTAAAGATTTTGGATGAGATGATAGAAACCCTGATAAATCACCACGTAGATCAATCTGCAAGTTAATAGACAAGTATTAATAAAGAAAAAGTAAAAATACCTTTTTAGTCATTTAGCTATTACAATGTCATTTTTTTATGGCCGAACTCATAAAAAATCTCTGAACTTGTTGGGGTTTTCTCTTCAGGTATCTCAACTACATCATTTTCCTATTGAATCATTGAATCATCCATAATTTGTTCCTTTTAAACATTGTTGGCTGATTTTGAACAGTTTTTCTATTGTAAATGTTTTCAATTGTATTCGTATTGTAATGATTTTGATTTGAAGGAATGAAGATAAAACGTGTTAGTCTCATTTGTTTTTCAAATTTGTTCAAAAGACTTGAAGTAAAAACACAATTATTCTCGAACATTTTCACTAATTGGACTAATGAATTCTGATACAACGTATCATCAATCCCCCTCATAAAATCCGGCTCCACATAAGTCCGGTGTTTGAAAGGATCAAATTATGGGTGATTCAATAGGAAAATAACATAATTGAGGTACCTGATGGGAAAAATCCAACAAATTTAGGGATCTGTTTATATATTTGGTCTTTGCCACCAGGTAGCATATTATATTGTTAGTATCCGTGATAAATCTCATTATTTACCCTAAGAGGGGTCAACTCATGCTTTTCTATCTTAATGTATGATATTCCACTTGTATATATTATATGGTTAACTTAATTACCTGATGAATGCCTTGAAGAGGAGATAGATTGACACCAATATCAGCAATACAAGTCATTGTTGTTCTATCAGCAGCATTCAAGTAAGCATATCTCTTTAAGCAAGACATCATATCTCTTGCCAATGCTTTAGCCAAAGGATAACTCAATATAAATCCAGCACCACCAAAACCTTGATTAAATGAGTACCAATAATTTGATAATATAAATTCAGAATGTCCTCCAAAATAATAATATTTCGTATGATCATAATGTGCAAGAATATCAACCATATTATCAACGAAAAATATTGAATCATCGTCTCCCATAACTAGCCATCGTACACCTTCATGTCCCTCTCTAAACACCTCCATTATCCCATGAACCAACCTTAGAACCGTTGCATCGACATGTTTGGTCTCATTAACAAGTTTTGGAACATCATCTGATATTCTGTAAGGAGGTGAATTTGAAGACCATGGAAGAAGATCACCTTTAGGAGGAACATCTAGTAAAAGATATCCATTTGTAATATTTGGTCTCCACCATGATTCTATATATGATTTTCTATGATGCCATGCTTTTTCTGACCCTAAAAGACCAAATAAAAGGTGACTAATGTTAGTGGAACTTTTGGATTGTGCAACATTTGGTTGAGGACTAAAAGGTGTCCATTTCAATCTAAAAGAAGAGAAGAGTTCAGAAGATGGACAATTAGAGTCACCAAAAAAGATAATAAAGCCTAAGTATAGAACTAAACCAAGAATTAAAATTGTTTTGGAAATGCTAATCAGTTTAGATTTGTCACACGTAGACATGTTTGAGAGAATACTAGGTGGAGAAGAAGGAGGGGAAATAGTGAATATATATAATCATGTGGTTCTATAGCATGAGTTATGCGTTATATATATTGGCAAGTTTTCAATAAAAAGCAACTCTAACTTAGTTCATAATTTGACCAGGGTTGTGATTGAGATGGTTGAGATCCCTCGACTCTTTATCAGATGTCTCAAGTTCAATTCTTGGTAATGGAAATATCATAGTGGTAGTGTCATAAATATGGGCATGGTTGTGGTTGCTCTAAAAATATCGGATTCAGTGATATTCGAACATGGGCTCAAGTCTCAATAACACTAAAATAACTTTAAGCACCTACCTAAGAGTCAATGGACTATCCAGATTTTATCTATCTATCTATCTATCTATCTATATATATATATATATATATATATATATATATATATATATATATATATATATTTCTAGACGAGATTAATGGGTGTTGAACATGCGGAGGACTCTATGGGTCTACCATGCTTACCATATATATTCGAATTTAAAATTTAATCGGACTGTAAAGTGAATATGTGAAGAGGTAATTTACACAATCATTTTCTTTTGGAACCTAATATATAGTTTGTCTTAATGTATTTGTCTTATTGGCTTTCGATGAACTCTATGAGCTAAACATATAAAACAAACTTTAGTATCTCTAGTACCAACTCTATAAAATTTAGGAAAGATACCTTTTTGTTTAAAAATTTAACATTATATCTAACGACTTGTATTTTATTTTTTAATTTTTGGAACCTACGCATTGGGTGAATTTTACGAGCTCGGTTGAAAAGCTGTTGACAAGAAAATCAATATGTATTGTTTATTATGAGATATCACTTATTGCATCAATTCAATTATCTTTATAAATCATTATCAACTTTGAAAATATTATTCATTTTGTTTTTTTAACATGATAAAATAATATTGATAAGTAAAATATTTACTTTAATCCGAAAAAAAGAAAATAAGATTAACAAATGGGATAAGGCATATGTATCTCCTAGACTGTGATCAAAATCTCATAGACACGTCTTAACTAAACTTAGAACCTATTAACCCGTCATTTTTTGTAATTTTATACACCTTTTGACTTACATGGCATAGTCTCTGACTCCAGCAGTTGAGACGCGCGGAAGACATTTAGATGTCACTAAACCAAAAAGGTGTTCAAAATTACCAAAAAAAAAATTGGTCCGAAAGGGGTGGGAGGAGTAATAGGACCTTAATTTAGTTAATATGTGTTTCTAAAATTTCGATAATTAAATCTTCGTCACATTATTTTCTAATTAAGGTTGCTTCATATAAGCAAGTCAACGTTTTTTCTTTAAGTTGGAAATTTCTTGGAAGTGAATTTTGTTAACTCCTTTAATAAGACTGTCTATCGTGCAACACAAGATAACAATTAATACAGAATCAAATTTATGATCAGATCGTGCACTTGCAGGGCCATTTAGGATGGTGTTTTCAATAGGATTTTCTCTATATCTATGCTTGAATTGAGATCTCTGATTAAGAATAAAATAATTATACCACTGCACACACAACTTACATTGATGCTCGAGTATTACTTAATAATGTACTAACTTTTAATTTCGTATGTATGAAACATTAATTTAGCTAGTAATTGTGATAAAGGTACAGACACTAAGGATCTATTTAGTCATCGATATTGCAAACTGAATTTTATTTGACTATATAATTTGTCTATTTTGTCTGAAATTTTAAAAATCAAATATCCTACAAACTTGCTTAGGGCCAAAAAGTTATGGCAAAATCTTTTTAAACTTTATAACTTTATCCAAAAAATTTTTATTTTATAAAACAATTCATCTATTTAGGAGCCCCCACTAATACCTACTATCCTTTTTGGTCATCTAAAAAAATTGTTTATAAAATATGAAAAGATTATATTAAAAATAATTAATTACTAACGTTATTATTTTTTTTTATTAATTTTCACTGATGGATCATCATAATTAATTGCAACATAAGCATTGAGGTGAGTGTTGTAGTAGCTAATAATTATGTTATTAGTAGATTTTATTAAAATATCGTGTCATAATTTTAGAATATGTATTATCAAGTTCATTACAAAAATAATAATTTTGTGCCAAATTTATGAATATTTTTTTAATATATTTTTTAAAACTTATTGGTATAAGTCACGTTTTATGTTTTTCAACAAAGAAAAAAGAAAAAAGGAGTTTAGGATATGTTTCCAAAAACTATGACCAAAACATATTTTAAAACGTTAATCCAGACTTCACTCAAATGTGATTTCTAAAATAGTTGAAAATCTATAACCAAACATGAAAATTCTCTTTTTCAAGCTCTATTTTCTAAGATTTGAAAATTCAACTTTTGTTAGCTCACATAGGCATCAGAAAATGCATATGTAGCGTAAGTGACAACCAAAAAAAGATGTTAAGCTAGCTTATTAAAGGAGCAAAAATTAATTAAGCTAACTAAACATGGCCTTAAAAGTTGAAATTCCTTCAAATAATCTGTGATTAATTTCTTTTTAGATTTTCTCTCACATTTTTTGTCAAGTTTGGCTAGGAATAGTTGGACCTAATTTTGGGTGTCACCATGCATGGATACATAGAGGTGACAAATTAGCCCACAAAATATAACTAGTACAACCCCTTCAAATTATAAGCAAGACATTAGCTCAAATAATTTTTGGACAAATTAATTATTGGGCAATTTTTAAAATGACTATAGTTTGGGCTTTAATCAAAGATCTATAGCTTGAGTGATTACGAATTATAACTACATGTTAGAAAGAGGCAAAGACGAGCAAAACTAGGAGATGGAGGAGAGAGGACAGTAAAATTTGGGTAAGAGAGGAGAGAGGTAAGCGAGATTGAATACATGTTGTATTCATTTTATTAGGTTGTATCACAAATATAATTGAAACAACTGATTTGTATCAAAGATAAATATAATTGTATAAAAAATTATTGTATTTAGCTTCATATAGGAGGAGAGGAAAAAGGCAAGCGAGATCGAGAGAGGGAGAAGAGAGGATGAATACATGTTGTGTTCGTTATACCACAAATGCATTTATTACAGAATACAAATACAGTTGATACAAAATATAAATATTACATATTGAATATAATTGTATCAATTTTATTAACGTACACCATTTGTATCGACAAATACAATTGGCAGAATACAAATTATTACTCCCTCTATCCACAATTGTTTGGCAGGTATGCTAAAAAATAGATATCCAAGATTAATTGTCAGTTTAAACAATCAAGAAATAATTAGTCATTTTTTTCCAATTCTACTGTTAATAATTACTCAATTTCTTCAATTGAAAAGTTATGTAGACTTTTGATATTCTTGCTACATAGTAGGGTTATACTAGTCAAATTAAATCTTGTATTAAATTTTCTTTAAGGGAAGTGCATGAACTCACCCTAACAAACAATTACGGATAGAGAGAGTATAATACAACTAATACTGGTTATGTATATAATTGATATATCTTATACATAATACAAAAACAATTGTCTTGTTATGTAGAATGGCTTTTTAGCTGCAATTGCTTGGGCTGAAGAGAGAAAGGGGGGGCAATGGGAAGAGAAAGGTAATGGAGAGAGGAGAGAAAAATTGCTATAAAACCCTACTTGTAGTTATTATTTTAAACTGAAGTGATTTATTATAAATACATATGTAACTTTTCAATCAATGTATTTTAATGACACCTTTGAACAGAAATGCCAACAAAGATTGTAACATATTATCAAAAGCAAACCACGCGCAACAGTAACTTTAATTGTTAGGTCAAAAGTTCAAAATGGACACATTCTTGCAAAATCACCCCTACGCCAGACTCGATGATTAGAATTGAAAAACAAATCCATCAAAAGCAACAATGAAGCACAAAGTCATGCTGAGCTTGAACTTCAGAAAAGGGTGTGTTTGGTACGGAGGAAAATATTCTCCTACTTACCAAACACACCCCAAGTCTCTTCATTTTAACAAATCATGAATGCATATCACCAATTCCAAGCGCGAAAAAAAGATGCATTCGATTTACAAATATCTTTGTAATCCCACAGTTGGTACTTACAGAAGTACCAAAAATGACAGAAAATATAAAGCAAAAGTATCCCAACCCGATAAAGAACAACATAAAATCTTCAAATTATCAAACAAACATATAAATACTTGAGAGGTCTAAGAAAGATGCTAGATCTATAACCTCTACTTATGCAAAATTATTTCCCGCTAACCTATCTCCATGTAACGTTTAAATGGTCTAGCAATCAGAAATCGACTTTCTGAAATTCAAAACCAAGTAAATGCACCTATGCCTCATGAGCCTTTTGGCTAGGAGCTTCGTCATGAGCCTTTTGAATTCCGATTAAACGAGCATAATCAACCCACCTGTAAAAAACCAATTTTCCAGTTTTTGTTGTGTGATTAATCAGTTGAAGAAATTGGGCAAATTGAAGGACAGATGTTTCAGAAAGAAGTGAAGGATCTTACAATAGTGAACCCAAGAATGTGTTGCCTGTTC